TTCACAGCTCCTGAGCAATGGGCGTGGGATCTAACTTTATAAACCATGGAGAGGACCCCAGTGGGAAAGACCCCCAAACACCTAATTACAGACAAACAACAAATAAACACTAATTTTTCTCTTGGCTTTCCTTGGGGGAAGAACTGTTTGTTTATAGCAGGTAATAGGAGAGTTCACCCTTGGGGAATAATGATAATAGCCACAAAGCATCTACTAGAAACTTAGTGATTCATAAAGCTTTTTGCTCTCTCAGTTTACACTGAGGAAAATGTGATGAAAGAGCCCCTAATAAACCAAGCTGGAAGTTGTAACCCAGGTCTCTTGCCTCTGAATCCTATGTTATTTCAAGAATTCCACCTTTGCACCAACATTTGATGTTGTCAATTTTTTTTTCACTTTTGCCTTTATAGTAGGTTTGCAATAGAATCTCATTTTGGTTTTACTGTATTTTTATTTCTATGTTGACTAAGGGTGCTGGGCACTTATTCACGTACTTATTGAACCTATCTTCTCTTGCAAAATGTTTGTTCAAGTCATTTGTTACTTAGTTGTTTGCTTTCTTACTATTGAGTTGTAGGAGATCTTTATATATACTTGATTCAAGTCCTCTGTTAGATCTATATATATGAAATATTTCGTATAGCTTGCCTACTTATTTTCTTGAAGATGTCATTTGATAGACATAGTTTTTAATTTTGATGAATTCTAATTGGTTATTTTTTCTTTTGCATCTCATGTTTTCTGTGTTCTCAAAGAAATCTTTGCTTCATCAACATCACTAAGATGTTCTTTTTTGTTTTCTTCTAGTAGTTTTGTTGTTTTGGCTTTTACATTTCAGTCAATCTGTACTTTTTTTGTCTGGCTGTTTTTGCTCAATAAAAGGTTAGTGATATTCATCAATGTTGCTTAAAATAATTTTTAATTTCCTTTTAATTTCTCCTTTAACCTGTAAGCTAGTTAAAGTTCTTTTATGTTGTTTTCAATTAATTAGCTTATTTTCCAGAAATCTTTCTGTTATTGATTCAAACTTAATTTCGTTGTTGTTGGAACACACAGTAAATATGACTGGAATACTTTTAAATTGACTGAGACTTATTTTTTGGCCCAAAATGTACTCTGTCGGGAAATATTAAAAACTGTATACTCAGTTCTCCCCCACCCCCTGGGGGAGGGTTTAAGAATATTCTATAAATATCAGTTAAGTTGGCTTATTTGTTGTTGTTGTTAGTTGCCATCCAATCACCTCCGACTCATGGTGACCTTATGTGTAATACAATGAAACATTGCCTGGTCAGTGCATAGGGTTGTTCAAATCTTTAATATCTTTTTTTTTAAATTTTCTGTCCACTACTATAGCAGTTATGGAAAGAGGTTTGTGGTATGATTAAACTATAATTGTGGATTTGTCTTTTTTTCCCTTATCAGTTTTTATTTCAAATATTTTGAAGCTATTGTTATTAGGTACACAAAAGTTTAGAATTAGTAGCTCCTCTGAATGCCTCAATCCCTTTAACACTAAGAATGACTCTCTTTCTTCTGGAGAATATTATTTGCTCTGGAATCTACCTTTTTATATTAATATAGCCACTCCAGCTTGCTTTTAATTAGTGTTAAGATAGCATTTTTTCCCAAACTTTTACTTTTAACCCATTAGTCATAATAATTGTTTCAATGCCCTTATCTGCTCAAATTATCATCTGCATCATTTCTGGGTCATTCTCCTTTGACTGATTTTTCTCCTCATTCTGGGTTGTATTTTCCTGCCTTTTCCCACTCCTGGTAATATTTGACTGGGTGGTAGACACTGCGGATTTTAACTTGTTGGTTGCTGGATATTTTTGCATTCCTACAAACTGTATTAGATTTGTTCTGAGATGCAGTTATGTTACTTGGAAAAAGTTTAATCATTTCAGGTCTTGTTTTTAAGCTCTGTTAGGTGGGACCAGAGCTGCACTTAGTCTAGGGTCAATTTTTCCCCCTACTGAGGTAAGGTATTTCTTAATGTTCTAGCTGATGCCTCCCGAATTCTAAGGTTTTCCACTTTCACTGTTGGGAAAAAGCACTATCCTGGTCACACGTTAGCCCCCAGAACCGCTCATTTTATAATTCATCATAATTTTTCATATTAATCATTGTTTTATGATTTTGTGATATTATCTTTGAAAATGTTTCTTAATGTTTAAATGAGCTCACACTAAAGTGGTTTAAATATATACTTCATAGCAGATAAAGATAATAACTAAAGCACTTTGATGGATTCACATCTTCCTCACCTCATGTACTAGGGTCTTAGAGAGTAAGAAGATTATAGCAAAAAGCAATATAATTTAAGTCTTTTAATCGTGGCATAACTAATCAAGCTAGCCAGGCAATGTCTAAACAACATAATGGGCAAAGTACATCCTTGCTGCTCCAACTAGATGAGGAGCCCCAGGAGAAAGAATTTGGACACACCCCTCTGATTCTCACTTTTCATGCTTGTCTTTTCTGCTGTGGATGAAGAGCATTGAAAATATCAGGCACTGAGAAATGAAGATTATTATTAACAGGAATTCATTGTAAAATTTATCCTGGAGAATGAATGAATTTACAAAAAAACATCAGTTCAGATAGTTTTCTGCTTGAATCTTCAGAATGTCTCAGTCTAGCAACAGAGAGACATGACACCAAGAACCAAACAGATCTTACTCTGTGAAAACCATTTATTCAGCTGTGGGCCAGAGCTGAGCTACCACTGGGATACAGAAGTAAATGACAGATGAAATCATTCCCCTTGGAGTTTATATATTAGTGAGAAGCCTATGCCTAGAGATAAAGTGATCTTATAGTTTATTGGCCAAAGTGGGATATTTTTTGGAAGTAAAATGGGGAGCTGATAAAAATGGCACTGGAGCGGCAGACATAAAATGATTTTTCCCTAGTCATCCAAGAAGATATAGTCATCTGCTTAAGCAGGGTTTCTTTTTTTAATAAGGCAAAATTCACATGACATAAAATTAACCATTTTAAAGTGTACAACTCAGTGGCATTTAGTCCATTTAAAATGCTGTGCAGCCATCACTGCTGTAATTCCAGTTCTCACCCAAAAAGGAGACCTCATGCCCATTAAGTGGTCACTTTTCATTTAAACCAATGTCTCTGTGACAACAGAACTTAGCAAACAGCTCATATTCTGACACATAACAGTGCTCCAGAATCTAAAGAGTATCCCAGTCCTTCCCACAAATAGCTAAGATATCCGCACACATGAATGAAACCCTGAGAAAAAGGATTTGAGCGTAAACAATTTACTTTGGAGGATCCTAGGATGCAACTTAGGAGGATGGGGAGTCAGACAGAGAAGGGAGGGCAGCCATTAAAGGCTATGCTATTGAGTAGGTTACTGCTGTGGATAACTAGGGAAAAATCCACCAAACATCTCTGGAAATCAGTACAAAAGATTTCTTAAATCATTTTATCAAAGGGAGAGGAAACTCCCATCCACTATTTACTGAGCGCTTTTTCTAAGAGTCTTAACTCCTCAGCACTTCCAGCCAGGCCCATGCATAAGCCAAACCTGTATCTCTAGACAGAAATTCCTCATCAGAAAGTTGTTGGTAGTTAAGAGTAAGAAGTCAGTGGCATATTCTGCTATAGTTCATCCTATGGCCACTAACATTCTTTTTTCTCCCAAATTAAGCTCAATCTGTTGTAACACTGACAGGATACTTACCAAGCTCATATGATCAAATCTTAAGTCTTCTTTTCTACACAGTCTGCACTCCAAAAGAGAAAATGAGGGTCTATTTAAATGTCACTTGAGCTTTCTGACTTTCACACACTGTCCTGAATTGTTAGGTTACTGACCTGAGATTGTTATTTTCCCGCACTTTATTATCTATTGTCATTAACAGAGGCCAATCAACTCCATGGATTTTATAATCGCCAAGTGCCCATGTCTTTCAAAGATCTTTATCTATTTTATAAGGTAGTGTTTCCTCTCCCACCAATACATCAACCCAATTTACATCAGGTTAGAATCTTAGTAGTTATGATATTTCTGCACTCCAGAGTTATCACCATCCCACCTAACACCAACAATGTGTTCCGTTGCTCTTTGACCATCGAGTGATCCTAAGCCAGAACCTTATCCTGTGTATCTTCATAACAGCACTTCTGTACTTACTGTCTAAGGTTGAGGTAGTCCAGAGGAAGATCTTGAGGAAAGTATTTGAATACAAGTAGTTTATTAGGAAGGTAATTCCAGAAAGAACCAGTAAAATATTGGTGATCTGAGACATGGAAACGTAGGTTGTCAATACAGTGTATGGTAATAGTAAATTACCACTGAGAGAACTGGGGTTCAGACCTTTGAGAAATGATCCTCTTAAAACATTCCTCAGAGTTGTCCCACCCAATATGTAAAATAGCTGGGATTTGTTTCCACCAAATCCTACTTGTACTTGACTAAAAGATTCTCTGGGGCCATTAAATCCGTACCCCATCTGACCTGTCCAAGAGCAGGCAGAGTTTGCCGCTGTTCTCAGAGAAAGTGAAATAGTTCTCAGGCAGAGAGTCCTAATGTTCTCAGTAAGAAGTCATCAGCATGGACAAGGATTGAGAATGCCATAGGAATATGAGAAATGTATCGGTTAACTTTGGGGGGGAAAAAAAACCCAGAACATAGCAGTTTAAAACACCAGTCACTTTATTTGCTTACAATTCTATGGGTCAGCTGAGCAGTACTAGACTGGGCTGAATTGTCTGCGGCTGGATGTTCTAGAAAGTTTCCCTAACAACTGTACGTCTCACTTGGCATGGCTGTAAGGTTGGGACAGCTAGAGCCTTTCTTCCTGTGGTCTTTCATTCTCTATTAGACTAGCATGTGTTTCTTCACAGGGCGGTCTCTGGGTTCCCAAAGAACAAGCCACCACGCACAGCTCTTTTCAAGACTTTTTAACATGTTTGCTAACATCTTATGAAAAAAAAAGTCAAAACACCTGCCTAAATTCAGATGCACACTATGGTAAAACTGTTCTTCTATTGAGTATATCTCCCAGAGCTCCTTTCATGTTCCTTATCCTCAGACTATAGATAAAGGGATTTAGCATGGGAGTAACCAAAGTGTATAATATAGCCACAATAACATCCTTGTCATTGGAGTTACTGGAAGAGGGCAAAAAGTACAATGCAATAATTGTCCCATAGTGTAGAGACACTACAGAAAGGTGGGAGCCACAGGTGGACAAGGCTTTGTAGATTCCCTTGGTTGAGGGGACTCTCAGGATGATGGCGCCAATGCGGCCATAAGATGCATATGAATGGAAGGGTAATAATCACCACCCTCACAGTGAGGATAACCTGCTCATTGGTTGAGGTGTCTGAGCTGGACAGTTCAAGTAAGGCAGAGAAGTTACAAAAGAAGTAGGGGACACTGTTGTCTCCACAGAAAGAGAGACAGACCAGCAGCAGGGTGTGCAATAGAGCAGTGGTAAAGGATAAGACCCAGGACACAATTATTAGCAGGAGACACACGCTCTGACTCATGATAGTGGTATAGTGGAGGGGGTGACAAATGGCTACGTACCTGTCATAGGCCATTGAGGTGAGAAGGAAGCTGTCAATATCACCGAAAAATAAGAAAAAATACACCTGATAAATGCATCCAGCATATGAGATGGATTGACTCTGTGTTTGCATGTTCATAAGCATCTTTGGGGCTATGACCGTTGAAAAAGGGATGTCAGTGAAGGCGAAATGGCTGAGGAAGATGTACATGGGGGTGTGAAGGCGAGAGTCCAGCCTGATGAGTAGGATGGTGAGCAGGTTCCCCAGCACCGTGGTGAGGAAGAATTCAGACATGCTGTTCTGCTTATACATCCTCATCTTGTTCTTCTCTTTTGCTGTAGATGGAAAATGAGATGGCAATATGAAAGAATAACAGATCATTATGATGGTCACATAATAAAAACATGTATTTGAACTGCTCAGTATATGAATCTTGAATGTTTCATGCTTTTTGTTCTACTAATAAGACTCAGTGACAGTCTGGCCACAAGCAATTATGGATCCACCTAGAAATCAACAAAAGCTCTCTTGGAAGAAACATGAAATATCAGAATGATTTATCAGATGAGACCAGGTTCAAACTTGAGATTAAGAAACTACGGTGCACCAACTACAGAGCTCCAAAATATATAAAACAAACTCTAACAGCACTGAAAACAGAGATAGACAGTTCCACAATAGTAGTATGACACTTCAACACACCACTTTCGGTGAAGGACAGAACATCCACAAAGAAGCTCAACAAAAACACGGAAGAGCTAAATGCTACAATCAACCAACTTGATCCCATGGACATATACTGAACACTCCACCCAACAGCAGCCAAGTACACTTTCTTTTCCAATGCACATGGAACATTCTCCAGAATAGACTATGTATTAGGCCATAAAGAAAGCCTTAACAAAATCCAAAGCATCAAAATATTACAAAGCATCTTTTCTGATCATAAAGCCATAAAAGTAGAAATCAATAACAGAAAAAGCAAGGAAAAAAAATCAAACACATGGAAACTGAACAACACCTTGGTCAAAAACTACTGGGTTATAGAAGAAATTAAAGATGGAATAAAGAAATTCATAGAATCAAACAAGAACGAAAACACATCCTACCAGAACCTTTGGGACACAGCAAAAGCAGTGCCCAGAGGTCAGTTTATAGCAATAAATGCACACATCCAAACAAAAGAACGGGCCATAATCAAAACATTAACCCTACAACTGGAGCAAGCAGAAAGAGAGCAGCAAAAGAAGCCCTCAGTCGCCAGAAGAAAGGAAATAATAAGAATTAGAGCAGAATTAAATGAAATAGAGAATAGAAAAAAAATCGCAAGAGTTAACAAGACCAAAAGCTGGTTCTTTGAAAAGATTAACAGAACTGATAAACCACTGGCCAAACTGACAAAAGAAAAACAGGAGAGGAAGCAGATAACCCACATAAGAAATGAGACGGCTGATATCACAACAGACCCAACTGAAATTAAAAGAATCATAACAGAATACTAGGAAAAATTTTACTCTAACAAATTTGAAAACCTAGAGATAATGGACAAATTTCTAGAAACTCACTACCTACTTAAACTAACACAAACAGAAGTAGAACAACTAAATAAACTCATAACAAAAGAGATTGAAAAGGCAATTTAAAAACTCCTAACAAAAAAAAAACCCTGGCCTGGATGGCTTCACTGGAGAATTCTGCCAAACTTTCAGAGAAGAGTTAACATCACTACTACTAAAGGTATTTCAGAGCATAGAAAAGGATGGAATACTCCCAAACTCATTCTATGAAGCCAGCATAACCCTGATCCCCAAACCAGGCAAAGACACCACAAAAAAAGAAAATTACAGACTAATATCCCTCATGAACACTGACGCAAATATTCTCAACAAAATTCTAGCCAATAAGATTAAACAACATATCAAAAAAATAATTCACCATGATCAAGTGGGATGTATACCAGGTATGCAGAGATGGTTCAACATTAGAAAAACAATCAATATAATCCATCACATAAATAAAACAAAAGACAAGAACCACATGATCTTATCAATCAATGTAGAAAAGTCATTTGACAAAGCCCAACACCCATTCATGATAAAAACTCTCAATAAAATACGAATAGAAGGGAAATTCCTCAATATAGTTAAGGGCATTTATACAAAGTCAACAGCCAACATCATCCTAAATGGAGAGACTTTGTAAGCTTTCCCCTTGAGAACGGGAACCAGACAAGGATGCCCTTTATTACCACTCTTATTCAGCATTGTGGTGGAGATCCTAGCCAGAGCAATTAGGCTAGAAAAAGAAATAAAGTGCATCCAAATAGGTAGGGAAGAAGTCAAAGTATCTCTATTTGCAGATGATATGATCTTATACACAGAAAACCCCAAAGAATCCACAAGAAAACTACTCAAACTAATAAGATTTCAGCAAAGTTTCATGATACAGGATAAACATACAAAAATGTTGGATTCCTTTACACCAACAAAGAGAACCTTGGAGAAGAAATCACCAAATCAATACCATTTATAATAGCCCCAAAGAAGATAAAATACTTAGGAATAAATCTAACCAGAAACATAAAAGAGCTATACAATGAAAACTACAAGACACTCTTGCAAGAAACCAAAAGAGACCTGCATAAAAGGAAAAACATACCTTGCTCATGGATAGGTAGACTCAACACTGTGAAAATGTCAGTTCTACTCAAAGCAATCTACATATACAATGCAATCTCGATCCAAATTCCATAGGCATTTTTTAATGAGATGGAGAAATAAATCACCAACTTCATATGGAAAGGGAAGAGGCCCTGAATAAGTAACGCATTACTCAAGGAGAAGAACAAAGTGGAAGGCCTCACACTACCTGATTTTAGAACCTATTATACTGCCACAGTAGTCAAAACAGCCTGCTACCGGTACAACAATAGATACATAGACCAATGGAACAGAATTGAGAATCCAGACATAAATTCATCCACCTATGAGCAGCTGATATTTGACAAAGGCTCAAAGTCTGTTAATCGGGAAAAAGACAGTCTCTTTATCAAATGGTGCTGGCATAACTGGATATCCATCTGCAAAAAACTGAATCAAGACCCATACCTCACACCATGCACAAAGACTAACTCAAAATGGACCAAAGACTTAAATATAAAATTAAAAATGATAAAGATCATGGAAGAAAAAATAGCGACAATGCTAGGAGCCCTAATAGATGGCATAAACACAATACAAACCATAAGTAACAGTGCACAAGCACCAGAAGAGAGACTAGATAACTGGGAGCTCCTAAAAATCAAACTTTTATGCTCATCAAAAGAATTCACCAAAAGAGTCAAAAGACAACCTACAGACTGGGAAAAAATTTTTGGCTATGACAAATCCGATCAGTGTCTAATCTCTAAAATCTACAAGATACCTCAACAACAAAAAGATAAATAACCCAATTAAAAAATGGGCA